AAGGCGAGGGGATTGCCTGAGTCCAGGGGTTTAAGACCAGCTTGGGCAACTTGGTGAGACCTTGTCTCTACAATAAATCAAAAGATTAGCTGGGTGTGGTGGCACTCGCCTATAGTTCCAGTTACTTGGAAGGCTGAGGTGGAAGGATTGCCTGAATCCAGCTGGTCGAGGCTGCGGTGGCTGTGAGCATGCCACTGTATTCCAGGCTGGGTGCCAGAGTGAGACCCTAACTCAAAAAAAAAAAAAAAAAAGAAAGAAAGAAAAAAGAAAAAGAGAATCAAGGAGGATTAGGATTTTTTTTCCTACAACAGAACGCACTGAAAACCCTGGAAGTATATCCATGTGAAGACAATCACTTAGAAGTTGAACACTGGGTCCTAGAGATGGCAGAGCTAGGGATATAGGTTCAAGGGTCATTCACATGGCTATTACAGTTAAATCAATAGTAAGATAAAAATCACAAGTGCCAAAGTTCAGATAAAAAAGAGAAAATTTTTAAAAAATCCTCAAACTGGTGAAGCCTGCTTGAACACATGAAAGATCATTTAGAGGGCAAGAGGAAGAAGTTAGTGAATGAAGGAGCTGAGATGTGTTTGAATCCTGGGGTGAGAGAACCGCTTGAGGCCAGGCGTTCAAGACCAGACTGGGCGACATAGCAAGACCACATCTCTACAAAGAATAGAAAAAAAACCTTTAGCTGAGCATGGTTGTGGCAACTATAGGAGGATGAGACAGGAGAATCACTTGAGTCCAGGAGTTTGAGGTTACAGTGAGCTATGATCGCTCCACTGCACTCCAGCCTGGGCTAAGAACAAGACTCTGTCTCTAAGAAAGAAGGAAGAGCCGGGCTTGGTGGCTCAGCCTGTAATCCCGCGCTTTGGGAGGCTGAGGTGAGCAGATTACCTGAGCCTGCGGGTTCGTGACCCGCCTGGGCAACTTGGTGAGACCTCATCTCTACAATAAATCAAAAAATTAGGCGGACGTGGTAGTGCGCGCCTGTCGTTCCGGCTACTTGGAAGACTGAGGCAGAAGGATTGCTGGAACCTAGCAGGTCGAGGCTGCGGTGGCTGGGAGTGTGTCACTGCGCTCCAGTCTTGGTGATAGAGTGAGACTCCAACTCAAAAATAAAAAAAGAAAGAAAGAAAGAAAGAAAGAAAGAAGGAGGAGAAAAAAAGGAGGAAGGGACGCAGGAGGAGGAAGAACAGAGGAAGAGGAGGAGGAAGAAGACAGGGTATGTTTATTGGTAATAAGTGGTTTGGTGACTAGGAAGTCACACACAAAACGGACAATCATCTAATTCCTTCAGTATGGAAAAAAGTGTACCCTTTGAGAGCCATGAAATGGAATGGCTTATCTTTGAGTTGTACGTTTGTGAATTTAAAAACCTGTAAGGACATATGCAATTTTTGCAAAAGAACCTGCTCCATATGGTAAGCTCAGTCCTTTGGGAACCAAATTATCAAAGCTTTTATCTGGTGTAAGAAAGCACAAGTCACAAGATTCAATCAGATCAGGCTGATGTATAAAGAACCAGGAGCCAAGTGTGCAGAGGGCCAGCCGAGAACCACAAACCTCCTTAGACAGACGAGCCTCACAGTGCTCCGCCAGATGACAGGTGGACAACTAGATGCGCATTTTCCCCACCCCGCATAAACTCCACGCATACTCTGAGGTCCACTCTCACTCACTTCCTGAATGACACCATTCCCATCACCACATCACTCTGGGAGGACACACTGTTTAAGACACCGTGTCCTGCAGCGAGACCTCATCTCTACAATAAATCAAAAAATCAGCCGGACGTGGTAGCGCATGCCTGTAATTCCGGCTACTTGGAAGGCTGAGGCGGAAGGATCGCCGGAGCCCAGCAGGTTGAGGCTGTGGTGGCCGGGAGCGGCCGTTGCACTCCAGTCTGGGCGACAGAGTGAGACTCCAACTCAAAAAAACCCCAAAAACAAAAAACACCGTGTCATACATTTTCTTTCCTTTCAAAGGCGAGATATTAAACTCAGGAAGTCACAGAAGCCCCTGCGGGGGTTCTGGTGTGGGTGTTGTCCCCTCTGCTTGCTCCAACCAACGTTTTTCATGACATGCATGTTTGATTGGTATTAGGTGGACAGCTGGGGGTCTGCCCCAAGCTTGCTCTGGAGGCTGGGGAGGGAGGGCTAATGACATCAGGGGCAGGGCTGCAGTAACTGACTCATGTGAGTAGTTAGCGGATTCCTTCATGGCCACGCTCACATTGCAAACATACGGGAGGACGGCGCGCCCCTGAGCCCATCATGCAGCGTGGTTTAGTCTACAACAATCGATCCTTGCTCTGTTCTCTATTTCTGTTCTTTACTGTGAACAACGGGTTGTGCAGCTGGGCTCCAGGCAGGGCTCAACAAAACTTCCTGTCCTTTCAAGGCAGGCAGTCACATTCATTGGGGAAGGAGAAAGAATTCGTCTCCAGAGGCAAAAGGTGAGGCAGCTGAATTCCATGCCTTTTAGTTTCTGGAATCTGTGAATAGGGACCAAGTGGCCAAGTGCAGGCGTGATCACACCTAGATTTTGCAACTGCTTTCTGCTTCTTATTGCTACACAGTCATCACAGAAACATAAAAGCTTTTCTGTTGGTTGGTTAGATGGTGAACATTTGTTATCCCCTCCTCCCCCATTTGGGGACAATGACTGATTTTCTCACACACAAAATAGCTGTGTCTAAAGTAGGCTGCTGGTGACTCAGGAGGTGGCCACTAGGCTCTCATCTTCAAGTGAAGACAGAACCGCTTTGCTGAAACCCACAGCACAAGCTCTGCATTCTAATAGGCTCTCCTCATATGATTAATATTTTATTGTCTCTGTCCTTACTACTGGTCCTGACATAGGTAGCACATCTGCTTGAGAGTTAAAACAGGTGTCCTTTCAGTCATAAACAAGATGGTCAGAGGTGATTCTGGGGCACCTGCGTGGAAAGGGCTCTACGTGACAGAAACAGGCTCTGAGCACCACAGAACTCCAGTCTGAGGGCTAGACATAGCAAGAAAGAGAGAGAGAGAAAGAGAGAGAGAGAGAGAGAAAGAAAAGAAAAGAAAAGAAAGAAAGAAAGAAAGAAAGAAAGAAAGAAAGAAAGAAAGAAAGAAAGAAAGAAAGAAAGAAAAATTCAAGGGAGCGAAGACTTTTGCACATGTTACCGAGAAAGAGAATAACAGTAATAAAAGAGGGTACTGTAATAGGCCATGCTTCATGAGTGGCATGACTCAATCTGTCTTCACATGGCTCTGGTTTAGATTTAAAGTGTAACTGGCTAAATAAACCTCCAAATCTTAGAATTTCTGAAGTAGCAACAGCCTTCACTTCAGATTACACATCATTTCTGACATAAAAATAGCAGCAGTTGAGTACGTGAGAGGCCCTTTCCTCCCAAAGTACAGGCTCTGATCCCACAATATCATCACTCATATCCCAGTCCAGAATTACACAGAAAATTTTCCAGCACTTTCAGTGGGACCTCTCAACCTCTTTTTTGGTCCTAAACTCACATATTCTGTATGAAAGGCAGAACAGTGGTTCCTCAAAAATGTCTGCATCCTAACCCAAACCTGTGACTAGGATGCACGGGAAAGGGAGATTAAAGCAGGTTAAGATAGGGAGATTTTTCTGGAGTATCAGGTAGGCCCAATGCAATCACAAGTGTCCTTAGAAATGAACAAGAGAGAGTTAGAGATGTAACCAGGTCACATCGATGTCATTATTCTGAGTTTGATGATAGAAAAGAGGACTGCAAATCAAGAAATATGGTGACCTCTAGCAGCTAGAAGAAAAAAAACAACCAGATTCTTCTTAGAGCCTCTAGAAAAGGATGCAGTCCTGTTGGTTACCCCTTATTTCAGACCAGTGAGACTTGTGTCAGTCTACAGACTCTAGAACTGGAAGTTGGTAAAGCTGTCTTGTTTTAAGCCACCGAATTTGTCTTAAGTTGTTACAGCAGCAATAGAAAACTAATACACACTGTCAGGAAGCAGACAGCCTCCCTCAGGAATAGTACTGCAACTTCAGAACAGAACAGTGCCTGGGTTTCTTTAGCAATACAGCTTTAAAATATTTTGTTTTGTAGTTAAATCAGTCAAGTGCTAATCCATAGAAAAGATGAGGAAAAAATGGTGCAGTATCTTCTAAACGTGTGTGTGTGTGCACCTGTGTGTGTGTGTGTGTGTGTGTGTGTGTGGGAGGGGGTGTACAGCTGAGAAGCTAATCTTCTTTTTACCTCCCATTTTTGCTACAGAGGAATGTAGCGTTATTTTTAGAAACTCAATCCCTTTCTAGTGGACCTGCATTAACGTGATCTTAAAATCTGCTTTTTCAGTTTCATCTTCTTTTTCCTTCAAAACATCCCTGTATGCTTTGAATGTTCAGATAATCTCCCGAGATGATCTAAATCTAAAGAATTTTAGCTCCCAAAGCATGCAGATTTTTGTACTAGGCCCTGAACATGGTTCAGAGAAGATCTGATAATATTTGAGACAGTACAACAGCAAATGTCCTGAATTAGAAGGTGAGAAATGGAATTAGAATGCTAAGACTTGGAATAGTTAATGTAAGCAGATTAGTGGATTTTTCTGTGCAATTTGCTCATGTTTTTGTTTGTTTATATGTTAGTCTTGTTTTGCTTGGAGGAAAAAATGCAAAATATCTTCTGAGCAAAATGCATTATGGGCCAGGAACACTTTTACATGAAGATTTTTAGGATTTCTTTAGAGTGAGGACAGAACTCACACTTAGAGATGAATTAAGATGTGTCTAGTCCTATATCAATCCCTTTGCCCTAAATGGAAAATAGAAAATAGGAAAATAGGAAATCTTACTTTTCTATTCAGGAGCAAATAATGAGTCACCAGGTGAGTTGAACGGGGAGAACCCCCGAAACTTGGTCATGGAGTACAATCACATCAGGAGTACAAACAAGAAGGATGGTTTGACCCACCAAACAAAATTAAAATGAGCACAGAAACACTTACCCTCATGTCTCCATTCATAGTTTTTGGTGTGTGATTAAATGCATGTGCGGGATCCTTGTTGTACACTTTGAGGAGCGATCTGTCTTGAATGTTCCTGGAATCAAAAACATCAATAACTATGGCAGATGAAAGCAGTCTTACTTTAGCCATTTCCTTAGTCTGCCCTTAAGGATCAGGTAGAGGACATTAACGAACAAACTGGAGGTTGTCTGCAATAAGCCAGTCAAAAGTCCTTTCACCATAAAATAGGCAAATATAAATAAAGAAAAGAAGAAAAATGACTTGGGCTCTTCCTTTTCTTATTGCTCAGGAGAGTATGAGTTTTTGGTACAGCTCTCAACCTGTAAATGTCGGGCAGCATGAACTTCCTTTCACGATTCTGAGCATGGAAAGTTAGCACTTTAAAAAAAACAGTAAAGCTCCAATATTTACAATACATTAAAAGAGATCTGGTTAATATTTAAATATTTAATTGTTTGCTTTTCCCCAACACTTGGTTTGCTGCTTATCTAATGAATGCACACAAAGGGGAAAAAAAGCTCATTTTTTTTCCTTCTGCCTTCAAACACTTTCAGCAAAGAAAAGAAATATATCTACAGTCTAGGGGAAAAAAGTACCACAAAGATCAAAACTAATATCTTTACTGTGCCTTTTTATCTTCCATAGTTGATTTTTAAAAATACTTTTTCTATATGTGAATTGAATTACTGGATGTGAAGGAACTACAGCGGAGAAATTCCTCTCTCCTTTCTAACCCAGCTCTTAGAGGCAAAGAGCCAATTGCAGCAAAAGACAGAAGTCCCCCATTTGCTCAGAGCCTACCTTAAGATTACTGAAGAGTACATGAACGTCTACAATGTTCTTCTCCCTCCAAATTCAGCCTTCATCAGCAGAAAGGCTGATGAAGGGTCCTTTCAGCCCCATCTGCGCTGCGATCCTTTCTAATGCCAGGCTCAAAGAAACGTGTGCAAAAGGATGAATTCCTTTCTTCCAGGTGCAGCCACATTTAGTGGGCTGACCCAATCACTGGGATTATTGGGTTGTGTTTTTGTTTTAAAAGAAATGGAGCATTCTTAGACCAGTCTTGTTTCTCTCCTTTAAATATCCGCCAGTGATTGCTTTGAGGCAATGACTAGCCCAAGCTTGCTCGGTTGCTCCAGATTTCAAGCCGCTTGTTAGAGAAGTCAGCTTGAGGGACAGCCAGCAGCCCTTGTTTGTTGCTAGAAGGGGCTGGGTTAATAACACGGGGAGACTCACAGTGGTTAGGACATGGGGGCTCACTAAAGGAACTCACCCTTTGGCTAAAGGAAGAAGTCACAAGTGAGGATGTGAAGAAACTGAAAGCCTCACTGAAGCCATGAAAAAGACTGTGATTCTAAAGATATTTAAAATACATGAGGTTGATTTAGGATTACTTTACAAACATATGTCCATCTGAGATAGACCAATAGAAAGGCCCAGATTGCATTTACCGTGGCTACATTGACAACACAGTGCTCTGCCCTGAACTTTCTGAAAATATGAGAAACCTAACACAATAATAAAATAGCCATATATTTAGCAAATATGTTCTCACTTCAAAAATCCTGAAGAATGAACTGAAATTTATCTCTGAATTTAGAATTTAGAAGATTAAAATCATTGTCTTCAGTTAAAACCTTTTCCTTTTTGGTCTTATATAATGCTGGTGATGAGAATTTCTACTATTCAAATAAAATATAATTGAGGCATGTTATGCATAAAAGTAAAGAAATAGAACAATTCTTTGGGGAAAAACATGCATGTACAGCATAAACATATTCATCACTAAATAAATATACTGCTTCCATTTGAACATTTTTAATGTTCATTTTAATGTTTGCCAAAAAAACAGAAAGTAAAATTATAGACAAATTAATAAATCAGTGATTTTTTATGTAAACATTTTAAATGTTTTTTTTTTTTTTTAAAGAATCAGGCTATCAGTACTACGGCTTAAGAATGAACAAGATAATCATTTTTCCAAAAATAAGCACATTAACTGAGAGTTATTAGTGTTTAAAGTGATCACTTTCTCTTTCAAATCTGCTTCCATCTATTTTACCAACTGGATTTCCATTGAGGAGGATCATGACTTTTCCTCTAAGTTCTTTCTCCCATTCCTTTCTTTGTAACTACTTCTTAACATTCCTACAGAATGCAAAGAGGAAGTTAAAAACAGTCATACTTTGAGACTTGGGATAGGCTCTAGAAAATGGTGACTCACTGCAATATAGAAATCCTTGCACAGCCTACAGAAAAGTGGGGCCCAATTATTCATAATACTTGAGCTCCATAATCAAGCGTGGCTTTCCTTAGTTTCATATTTACTTATTAGCACTGTCTCCCTCAGTTCCTCCAATTGCAAACGAAGAAATAGAAGACGATTACTGTAAAATGGTATCTCCATGTAAAAACACTACATGGGATTATATTACTGCAAACATGCTCTTTACCTATAATGTGATTATTTCATGTTTCAAGTTTATGCTTTGTAGATTCAAAAAAATTTCTTTTGGTGACAGCTTGATTAATAATTTAATTCAAAAACAAACATGAATTTTCTGATACTCATGAATATTTAAATACATTTTTAAAAAGCGGCAAGGTTGTGTAACAGATGTAGCATCTATGCCTTGGGGCATATGTCAAACTTTGAAAGCTCTAAATTACTCATACACCTGGACACATGCCTAACTATGTCATTTGTGACCATTGGTAGATATATACATCAGTTTACACTTATTATGCACTAGAGGCATATTTTTATTTTATTTAATTAATTAATTTTTTTGAGTCGAAGTCTCACTCTGTCGCCCAGACTGGAGTGCAGTGGCCGCTTCCGGCCACGGCAGCCTCGCCTGCTGGGCTCCGGCGATCCTTCTGCCTCAGCCTTCCAAGTAGCCGGAATTACAGGCATGCGCTACCACGCCCGGCTAATTTTTTTTTATTATAGAGATGAGGTCTCGCCTGCCCAGGCGGGTCTCGAACTCGTAGGTTCAGGCAATCCACTCACCTCAGCCTCCCAAAGGCGTGGGATTACAGGCTGAGCCACAGAGCCAGGCTTAGAGGCATATTTTTAAAAAGTAGTACCCATTAATTCCATAATGAAGAAACACAGCAGCTTGCTATTTCCACAGGGCAGGGACCCAGAAACCCCCAAGTCCTGCTACCGATGATTTGGTGAGGGGATATTCTAAGGGAACAAAAAGTTCTTACCCAAGAAATGGGGACAGCCAGGTTTGGGGCAGAGTTTGATACTTCATTGGTTGCGTGCTCTTGAATGAGTCCCTTCATTTTTATGTATCTGAATTTCTGGTTCCATAAAATTAAGGGGCTGGATTAGTTACTAAATAATCTTTGGGGACTCTAAGATGTTTTGAGGCTAGACTAGCAACTCCTTGAGTGTGTTGATTTAAGTCCTGTTTCCCAGGTTGTTTGGCTGGGACAGAACAAATGTGTTCTTTCAGCTCTACGCACAACACCAAGGCAGTCAATAAACATGGTTTTGTTTCTAGCCCCTCTCACTAGCAGGAGTCCATTTAGGCTAGTTTTAGAAGTCATTCGATAAGTAGCTCTGGAGAAAGCCCACCTGGAGCATGAGATCCTTATGTCAAGGACAACAACTTAAGAAAAGAATGGTGGCTCAGCCTGTAATGCCAGCACTTTGGGAGGCCAAAGTGAGTGGATTGCCTGAATCCATGGGTTCGAGACCAACCCAGGAAACTAGGCGAGACCTAGTCTCTACAATAAAACAAAAATTAGCCGGGCGTGATAGCACATGACTGTAGTTTGGGCTACTTGGAAGGCTGAGGTGGAAGGACTGTCGGAGCCCAGCAGGTTGATGCTGGGGTGGCGGTGAGTGTGCCACTGCACTCCAGCCTGGGTGATGGAATGAGACTCCAACTCAAGAAAAAAGAGCAATGAATGGAAAGTGGGAGTGCTTTTCAGTCTCTTTTCTTGTGGAAAAACAATACAGAATCCACTGCTTTTACTCTAACTTGTGAGATATAAATAATGACCCAGTAGAATCATAATCTAAAATGCCCACAGGTTCAGTCTATAGTCAAAAGAACTCCAAGAGGAAAGTAGGAAAGTTCCAGTAGGAAGTACTGCCTTCAACTCTTATGACCTTGGTCAAGTCTCTCCAACATTTTTCTGGACCTTGATTTCCCTAACTCTGAGATAAAATGTCGTATTAAATCATTTCTAATGTTCTTTTCAGATGTAACATTCAAACATCTTTGTGGCAGAAGTTTGCCCTCATCTTTATAAATTGTGCCTTGTAAATGAATTGCAGAAAACTACATGGTGAATTTGTACCTGGGTAAGATAAGCCTGTCAATCAGGATAATGGTTGTGCTTTCTTCACTGGCACATGGAGGAACTAGGATCCAGCACAAACTCTAGCAAAGCAATAGAGTGTACAAAAAACAAACAAAAAACCCCAAAGCCCCCTAAATGCCAAATGGTGGACCAAAGCCCCTCCCTGAAACCAAAAAGATTCTAAGGCAATATGGTGTAATAACAACAACAAAAGCCCCAAACAAACAAACAAAAAACTCGAATGCAACATAGGGGACCATAAAAATTATATCATCACTTACCTTACATCATTTAATTCATAATAGACATTTCTGCTTTCATCTTTGATGTAAATGGCGACACTGGGTGACTCCAGCATTTTCATGGTGAGCTGCTGAGGAAAGGCACTTACAAAGAGAGCACGGATTGTGTCTGCACTTGTGATTTCATTCGGCATCCTGAGCTGCTTGGTTTCATCTCCATACTGGAGATAGAGAACCCCTGCATGCAGAAGGAAAACAGTCATCAGTCACAGGTCAAGATTCAGAGGCCACGCATCCCTTCTTTCCAGCCTCACTGAGGTTCAAGGTGAGCTTGGAAGCACGTAACAAGTGATCTGGGTTTGGAATTTCCAAGAAATGCGCTGTCTGGCTATCACATAACTACTCACTTTTATTCTTTGAAGTCCAGGCGGGTGTTAAAGGACCTAATTTTCAACTATTTAAAAAATAAAATGACAAGAAGCTAACCTCTGGTAGCCTCAAGCAAAATACAATACTTAATATCCTTGGAATGTATATTTAGAAATCTGATCCTGTATGGTGATTTTTTTCCCCCATGTCTTTCATTAACTAGGAACACAATCATTATAGCCATGGGATATAGTTTAAGTCTTTCTAGTTCATTCAAGAATATTTTAAATGGAAATGCTACAATACTTTTGTGGTTCTAATACATATTTATTGGATGTTTATACCATGTTAAACTATCTACAGGAAAGGAGTCTGACACCCCATTGTTTCAGAAATAAAATGAAACACGTCAGTTACACAAGCACAGGATTTTAGAGTTCCCAGGGGTATGTGGCCCCAGTGCACCACACCTCTTAGTATTCACGTCCTAGTTCCTTCCCATGTTGATTCTGGGCTTGGTCATGTGAATGTGACTTGCCTTGGCCAATGGGATAATAGCAAGTGTGATCAGAAGGCAGGCTTTTTTTTTTTTTTTTTTTGGAGTCAGAGTCTTACTGACACAACTCACTGTAGCCTCCACCTCCTGGGCTCAGGAGATCCCCCTTCTCAACCTCTTGAGTAGGTGGGACTACAGGTGTGCACCACCACACCCGGCTAATTTTTGTAGAGATGAGGTTTTGGTATGTTGTTCAAGCTGGTCTCGAACTCAAGGGCTCATGTGACCTCATGTGGTAGGATTAAAGGTGTGAGCCACCGCATCTGGCCTGAAAGCAAGGCTTTATATGTGCTTGTCCATTCAAGTTTATACTCTTGGAGAGCTTGGTCTTGGGATGTTCCCTCACAGAACCCAGCTTCTGAGGAGTCCAACCTAGCCACATGAGGAGGTCACATATGGAACAACCAAAGTCCTGAATGACTATCAGCTAAGCATCCACTCTACAGCTAGAACCATTGAGGTTATGTGGATGCGCCATCTTGGGAGTGCACTCCCCAGTCCCAGGTGAGCTATTCAGCTGTTCCGTAGAACAGAAACACGATGCCCCCTCTAAGCACTGCCCGAGTTGCAGAATCACAAACAAATAAATGATTGTAGTTGTTATAAGCCACTCTGCTTAGGGATATTTATCGTTCACTCATTTATTTATTGAGTTGGGACCTCACTCTGTTGCTCATGATGGAGTGCAGTGGCGTGATCACAGTTCACTACAGCTTCGACTTTCTGGATTCAGGCAGTCCTTCCACCTCAGAATCCTGAGTAGCTAGAACTATAGGTGCACGCCATTATGCCTGGCTAACATTTTTGTTTTTGTGTAGAGATGGGGGTTCTTGCTATGTTGCCCAGGCTAGTCTCGAACTCCTGGCCTCAAGCAATCATCCTGCCTTGCCTTCCAAAGTGTTGGGATTACAGGTATTAGCAACTGGACCGGGCCTAGGATCATTTGTTATTCAGAAACAGATAAACAGAGACAGAGTAAGTAGGATCTTAACAATGAATTTGAATTTTACTTTTTGTGAGAATCTGTTGGAGGTGAACTACTACCACTAGGGTAAGCTTTGGCAAGAGAGACTCATAAAAGATCAGAATAACTTCTGCTGAATATGGTAGCTCGTGTAACACATTTATCTCTACTTCCTCCAGAAATTCCACTAAAATGACAATAAGGGATAAAAAAGCATACATCAAAGAATTAAGGGAGTGAGAGAGGAAACAACAGCAGACAAAGCTGACACTTAAGTCTTCAAGGGACCAGCTCCACAGAAAGCATGCAGGGCCAGGGAAGGAAACTCAGAAGACAGTGCGCCAGACTCTTCTGAAGACAGGCATGCAGAGTGAGTTGAAAGCACGAGTGCTGATTGGACTTGCTTTTTTACTGAATGGCACCGCAAGATGACCATCTTTCCCTTTCCACTTCACTCAGCCAGGTCGCTCCCATCGCATTCACAGAAGGCAGAGGAGCCCACACCAAACACATTGGGTTCTGGCCGACCAGGTCCAAGGGATGGGTGAGATGCCTTCCCTCGGATACAATGTGGCAAGGGTCCACCACCTCAGGTGACCCGCCCATGGGAAGAGACCAATAGATTTTTAAAAAAAATTTTAAGTGTACAGTTTAATCAGTTTTGATAAATGTATATAACTACGTAATCATCACCACATTCAAGAATGGTATCCACCATCACCACCTAAAAAGTTTCCTTCTGTCCAGTCAACTGATCAATCTCAAACATCCCCAGCTACAGGCAACTGCCCAACAACTTTTTGTCACCATAGATTAGATGTGTCTCGTCTAGAGTTTCACATAATGGATTTATGCAGTCTTTTCGCTTTTGTATAGAATGGCATTTTAGACTCCTCCACGTGGTTGCATTTCTCAGTAGACTGAGAATCCAACAGATTTTTGAGGGTTGTGTTCAGTTTCTGTCTGGACAGCCCATAGTGAAACAGCCCAAACCACGTATAAAAGCTTCCCGCTCATAGGTTAACAGGCTCCAAGGATTAACAGATATTTTATACAAGCCTGTACCATGAAAGAAAACAGACAAATAAACAGGCAATAGAAACTCAGAAGAGACCAGTCCAGGGAACGGGCGACCCTTTGCAGAACAAAACCATGAGGGCAGAATTTTAAAATTCCACAAAGAAGAAAAAGTTAATGAAATCTCAGAAGGATGGAAAAAGAGAGAAGAGCCGTAAGAAAAACAGAGAATGATGTCAGAGCACCCAGATTCCTAGTAGTGGAGATTTTGGTAAAAGAGACCTGAAAAAATGAAGATGTTTCCTAAAAGTCATTCATTATAAGTACGTTCTTTTCCCCCTCTCAAATGGAAGGACATGAGACGTCAGACTGAAGAGGTTTGTACAATGCTCAGCACACTCAAGCTTATCGCTTGAGGCATTTCAGATAATGGGGGTGAAAACAGAAGGTCCTAAAAGCTCCACGAGGGGTTAAAAGTCACATGGGAAGGATCAGGTGTCAGAAAGGCATTAGCTGTCTCAGTAGCAATCCCAGAAAACAAAGACAAGGGAGCAATGCCTTTGAAAATCCAGAGGAAAGGATTTTTGATGTAGATTTTGACTCATCCCAACTGTCAGTCGGGTCTCTATTAAAGTCAGTTTCTCAGTGGAGCCTCTCCTGATCCCCTTCTCTAGAATTTCAGCACCTATTCTCCCTAATGTTTCATACCCTCATCCTTGCTTTATTTCTGTTCCTTAGATTTTTTCAAGTCATATTTTAATTATTAATATTGCTTCTAGTCCACTTCTCTGGCTAAATGTAAGTTACATGAGCTCAGGGATTAAAAATATTGTCTTACTCTGTTGTCCAGGCTGGAGTACAGGGGTGCTATCACAGCTCACCGTGGATTCAAACTTTTGGGCTCAAGGGATCTGCCTACCTCAGCCTCCCAAGTAGCTGGAACTAAGGTTTTGTTTTGTTTTTTTAATGTTTTTGTTGTTGTTTACCATTGCATCCTTATACCTATGATAGTACCTGTTGTGTAGTAGGTTCTCAATAAATATTTGTTGAATGAATGGCTAAATTATTTATTAGCCATTCAGAAGGAATGTCTCATTTAGGGTCTATCTGCGCTATCAGAGCTTTTGCTAGATGATGTAAACAGTTTAGTAACCGCACCCCCGCTTTGTATACACATTAGAAATACACCCTGAAGCAGCTGTTTCCTTGACCAGAGAAGTCCTTTTGTGTCAAGGAGAAGCAGTTCCGTTTCCCCTCTCCATCTACCCCCATTTTGACCCTTAGCTTCTTCAGAGAGCTAGTTTTCCAGAATCTCCATGCCGTTACATGTTCCTTGGAAGGCAGAGAAAACCTTCCAAGCCCGCCTGATCACGGAGATCATAGAGGCTACAATGTTTTGGCCCCAAACAGGAGTAGTGGTGACCATCCCATGTGATTACTAATGCTATATCAAAAGGCCAAAACCACTCTTGAGGTCTGGGCCTCAACCATGCCTGGGCGAGGCCACTGCAGATGGGCCAGTTGTGGCCTCCCTGCAGTTAAGTACCACAGCCCCTCCCCCGGCTCCCGGGCCTGGTTTCCATCTCCACATCTACATTCTGTACGTGTGTGTGCTTGAAATAGAATTTGTAGGCTCCAGAGGGGGAAAAAAAATTGGGGACTAAACTGTAGTTACCTCGGGGTCTGGCTGGTGCAGCTGCCAGCTGGGCATACAAGTCCAGTCACAGAACGTGACAGTCCGAGAGGATGGAAAGATGCCTTTGCAAATAGAGAATAGTCTTTTCACGCTTGTCTGTCACACCGTTTCAGGAAAGGTATTTAGAAATGCTTCAACTCAGAAGGAATTCTCTCAATATACGATGGCATTTTATTGGCACAATGATGAACTAAAACCCACATTGTTTCTAGTGATTCTGCGTGCCCTGGCACATGTTCTTTTGCTCCGAGTTAGTGATGGCTGCTCTGAATTCCAAGAGAATGCCCGAGAGACTCTGCATCCTAAACTCCCTTTTCATGGAGAAGGGCTAAGGGTTAGGATTAGGGATGAGGATGGCGGCAATGCATTTATAGGATGCTTGCCATGTCAGAAACCCTGTGTGTGTAACTGCATTTCCCCAGCAAAGCATTTCTTGTTGGGTTGGAATTATGGCCCAACAAGAGACTTCACAGTTAAGGAAAGGGGAGCTCAGAAGGTTCAAGTAACTTGCCTAAAAGTTACAGCTAGTAAGAGATATACATCTGCTTCTACCAATTCACAGAACCCTTGCTCTCTCTCTTGCAGCATACCATTCCTGAAATTCTGCAGGTAGTTTTGTCCATCTTCTCCAACCAT